GTGCCTGGTGGAGATCATAGTATGAAAGTGGCAGGTCAGGCTGTGTTTATCTTTGCCGCTGCCTGTGGGAAAAGCAAGGGCAGCTGCAGCTGCAGAATCTAGATAGGGTGTACATTGCTGGAGGAAATTGTATGCTCCAGAGAACCAGTAGGGTAAGGACTCAGAGTGGTGAAGTGTGACATCGCCACTCAGCTCTGTAAGCTACTACCAGGGCTGTATAGAAGAAGCATAAGGGAGATGAATCATGACGGCTGTGGATTCTATGAGTGTAGAACCTGGATGGTCCTGGGCTCAGAAGGAAAGAGTGTGCGGTGGTCTGGGGAGCGTGAGGGTCAGCAGGCATGTGTGTGTGTTAATCAAGAGTCCCAGTTTCCTGCTTATATATTTAAAGAAATGGTCTTCCTGTGTCTAAAATGGTCTTTACCTGACCCCCTCCATTCTGCCTGTCAAAAACAGTCTTGTTGCTCTGGTTAGCAGTGTGCACACTGAAGTATATAGAGGGAAGTGTTATTATGGCTGCCACTTATTTTGAAACAACAACAATGATGAAATAAGGTGGCCTGGTAAAATGGGTAGAGAGACGGGAAAGATGTGGTAAAGCGGGTATAGAAAAAGTGAATGGCAGAATCTAGGTGGTGGGTCTATAGTAATCACTGTAACATTCATCTGTGAAAGACTTTTCTGTATGTCTGAAGTTTGTCATAATAAAATGATGGAGAAAAATATAATCTATCCTTAAAGGCCTAGCTTAAGATCCAGAGCTTCGGGGAAGGCTTTCTGGAGTCCCCGAATTATTCATGGCTGAATACCCATGCCCTTGACCAGAGCCTCTTTCATGGCGTTAGTCATCATCGGGCATGCGGAGCTGATTTGCTCTCACATCTGAGCCCTTGTATGGGACAGCGACCTCTGTGTTGGCACACAGGCTGTCCTCTCTTTACATCCCCGATGCCTCGGACAGGCATCCTAAGGCACAAAGCGGATTGTCCCCACATGACTTTAGGATTCTTCTAAGAATATCGTGATTAAAGTTAACTTTGTTGAAATTCATTTTCGTAGTGTGTGTGTGTGTTGGGAGAGAGAGAAATGAGGGTTAGCATTTCCAGCAGCCAACACCCTGATCATGGCTGCAGACAAGACGGCTGTGTGGACCAGAGGCCCACCGCCAGTTACGTTAACGACGGCTGGGGCCATGGCGCTCCTGGCCCTTGCTAAGGGAATTCTGTGTCTTAATACCACGATTCACATCCAGAGCTCTGGACCGTATGGAGCCACCCCTGTTTAGAGGGCCATGCTATAAAGTATAAGCAGGTCTCATAGGTCTCAGGACAGCCTGTCAAGATCCCTGCAAGAATCCCCTTTCAGAGCCTTGTTGATTTCCCCAAAATATGTGTAATCCCAAACAGTCAAAAAATATTCCAAAATAACCTGGAATGGCATACTTGTTTTCCTAATAGGTAAGCATATTTTAATTCTAAGAAGATTTAGAAATGAAAATAGAAGATATTAATAAAGTCAAAGGTATAGTATTAATGTTTTTATTTAAAAGAATTATGCATATTTGATATTTCAGGCAATTATGTAAAATGATTTGGCTCATACAACAAGTTAGCCTGTATTTTCAAATTAAAATGTTCCACGGGATAATTGATTTAGACTTGCTCTGTGGAAGGATTGAAGTCTTACTAGATACAAGCAATATTAGAAAATTTAAGGTAATTTATTAGGTTTCTAAGATCTGTTTAAGGAAATATGTTCTAAGTTAGGTCAAATAGTTTTAATATTTAAAAGAATTGGTTACATTCTAAATTAAACACATGGTTTTAAATGTTTAAAGGACTTTAGGTTTATACAATGGACTAAACATTATTTGAATGGACCTTTGAAAGTAATTCTAAAAATTGTAAGATATGCGAGTTGAACCTAAAACTTAAAAGATGAACTAGGTATTTGAGTTTTAAAAAAATAACCAACCACATGAAATACGCATTTCTACAAACCGGGTAAACCCAAATAATGATTTTCTGCGCACAAAGCCACCTCGTGGTCGTTAAAAAATTCACATGAAATCAAGTGAATGACACAGCATAGATCACAGTAGATGCTTAGTGTTACTTGAATGTGAATTTAAAAATTGAATCAACAATATTTCTGGTAGGGACAAGAAGAAACACATAAGAACCTAGAGTTAATTCCTCGTAATGGCCTGAAACATGGTATGAAAGCGAGGATGCGGGGTTTTGAAGGGTGGTTCTGTAGAGCACAGAGACGTGAGAGTCTTGACACGTTCTCGGTGCAATGTCCACAGGAGCATCACACGCTCTGCACTTAGTAGATGCCCAGTGAGGGCCCGTTGTGGGGGCACCAATCTTCAGAGGTACTGTCAACAGTGGATAAGCTGATATTTCTTAACTCCAAGGTGTGCCCTTTGCATGGACAGCAGGGTGTACAGTCAAGTGCGGCTGTCCTGGGTGTTGGCCTCATCCATTCCGCCAAATGCCCTAAGAAATTGGAAGCTAGTTATATAGATGCTGCGTTGCCCATAACAAGGAATTCTCTCTGCTTTCACAGGAAATAAGCAGGTATGGGGCAAGAGACGGTTTTTGCCATCTGGACAAGGTTCAGATGGAATTACATGTAATACGGAGCTCCGGGTTTATTTTGTCATGGCCACTCAGACCGCTCTGAACAGGGTGCACAGTGAGACCCCAAGCCAGAGGACATTGTCATTTCGGTCTGGCTTCGGGTAATTGGGCACTCCTAGCTGGGCTCTGCCGTCAGTGAGCCTTTGAGACAAATTGCAAAATCTGTACAACCAGCTGAGAGGTGAAGTAGACCCAATGACACTGCCGGGGATATTGGTAATTCTCAAAAATTTGAAAGAGAATCCTTAGAGAAGCAATTCTCAAAACTGAATTTCCGGGTCCCTTTTCTGTGGTTAAAAGGTAAGTTCAATCATAGAAACAGGATCTGAGAAGATCCCGACAAGCCAGAAAGACAGGTTTAATCAAACAGGATGAAATTCAGTAGAAAAAAAATGTAAGGTTCTTTATTTGGATCCGAATATTCTAACTACGTATAAACAGACTGGGCATGGGGGTAGGGATATATTGGAGTAGCAGGTAGCCCATGTGAAAAGAACCTAGAAGGTCAAACTGACGTAAATTGACAGTTTCTTGTCCCCCCAAACTAAGTGCAGTGCTGCATTGACAGCAGTGGGGGATTGAGGAGTATAAGTGAGGTGATAGACTCACTTGTTCTAGCAGGAGCATCCCTGCAGTTCTGGCCGTCAGGCTGTGAACAGGGGGTAGACAAAGGATGGTCACAGAATGTATGGGGGGAGTGTTCTGAAGCGTCTCACAGATACCAGGGAACAGGGGAGGTTTGGTCTGGACACACCTTCAAGAGGACCTGAAAGCCACCATTAATATCTGGAAGTTGGTCATGTGCATGAGTGACTAGCCTTGGGTCTTGTTAAGAGGAACAAGAATCTGAAGATGAAATTTTCAAGAGGCCATAGTAAGGAGAGCCCTTTTATTCTTGAATGCTGTAAAATAAAGAGGACTGCTTCCTGAGCTCTAGTAGGAGTGCTAGCTTAGGCTAATTAGGACTTTGACATTTAAGGGTGGGACTGGATGACACCGAGTTACTCTCCAGTCCCAAACTTCAACAATTCCTTTGTCTTCTAGTGGTGACCGCCCTAACACAGGCAGGTGGTGGACAGAGCCATGTTCTATCAGGGGCGTCCAGCCTGCAGCCCAGGATGGCTATGAATGCAGCCCAACACAAAATCCTAAATTTACTTAAAACCTTTTTTTTGCTCATCAGCTTTTGTTAATGTTTGTGTATTTAGTGTGTGGCCCAGAGACGCCAAGAGGTTGGTCACCCCTGTCAGTGAAGGGACAGTATTTAGACTTCTCAGACAAAATTCCCATGAAGATATGCCCCCATTGGTCTTCATTAGTGCTGCCAGTTTTTTTCTCTGCCCAGGAGGTCCAGCGAGCACAGTCATTGTCTTTCAGCAGAAGCTGTGCTGTTTCCTCATTTATTCTTCCTGTGTGCCCTGCAGGACGCTGTGTGCCCTGGCTGGGGGCGTTGGGGGCGGGGTTGGTGGCGGTGCCGGAGAATAAGACAAACTTCTTGCTCCCTTCATGTATGCAGTGTGTCTGGGAGGTGAGACGGCAAGCACAAATTATACGAGGTATACGGTCATGATTATAGTTACAGTTTGGACCCATGTCTTATAAGAGTGAGGGGTTTTTTTTGTTGTTTTTTTTTTCCACGTAAAATGGTATTGCGTTTCCCCACTTAGCTTTGGTGCTGTACTTTCCCATTATATTACAGTTCTTCAAAGTCAGGTTGTCTCTTCGGAACACCCTCAATCTCCTGGTGGGGTATGGACGGGAGGTATGTGTTTAGACTTCGAGGCATTTTCTTCCCCCCAAAGGTTATAAAGTTTTGAGGAGCCGAGTCACTCTTTTTCACCAACACAGTCTTACATGTAGTTACTGGCGCAGTGACTGCTTTTAGGGGGTCTGCTTTCATACCATTAACTTCTTATCATTTTAGTGTTTCTGTGGCCACAGTGCTTCATTCTTTTGTGGTTACAGTGACTAACTGGAGGTAACTACGAGGAGAAGTCTGGGTGAGGAGGAATGGGTATGAAAAATTGGACTAGAACGGAATGGGGTTTACGGACTCCCACGCTGATACTTGTATTTATTGCGTGTACAAGGACCACGCGTTTAGAAGCAAGCTAGCAAAGAAACAAGAAGGCACATTTTAAAAAGCACATTTCTATCCTCGGTTGCTGATTGTAGTTCATAATGTAATGTCCCTCATCTTCTTTTCCCCTAGTAAGTATTTTCTCAAACAACTGTACTGTTTTATTCTTCTAGTATCGATAAACTTACAGCTGCAACTGACTGTAATTCTTTTCGTAGCTCTCAGAGGCGTTTTTATTTTGTCATCCACCTGATTGTAATTCTTCTTTATTGCAGGTAGGAATGAATTGATAGCCAGATACATCAAACTCAGGACAGGGAAGACGAGGACCAGAAAACAGGTACAGTAATGACCTTACCTGGAAACTGTGCATGTCAGCGAATGGCCCAGGGAGGCATTTTGGCTGCAGTGGCTGTCTGTGCTTTGGCTCCTAGGAGCCCCCAATTTTAGTTCCCTGTAAGGACGTCAGTGATGTTGAATTGGTGTTTTAAATTGGCTCAGTTTTCACTGTTCATCATTTCAGTGACCCTTGACGACGTGGTCTCCAGAATTCTGTTTATGAATTCTTTTATATTCTTTTTTTGGGAAAGTTCTACTAAGGACGGTGTATAAACTGCTCCTGTACTGTACTTCAAAAGCGTTCCTTCTTTCCCAAACTATGCATCTGCAAACACTACAAATGCTGCAGGTGCAAATATGCTTGCAAGTCATGAAAGTTGGAGATTTTTGTGCTTTGTAAAATCCTGGAACGATTACATATGAGTCATCATTTCAATGAAAAAGTAACACTAGCAGCCGCGAGTATTGGCCTGAATACGATACTGAATGATGTGCGTCCAGGGAACTGTTGCTCTGTAAGCTGTGGCTTTTTGTCAGTAGCTGCTGTGACTGAAATGAAGTTACAACTTAAATACCGTTGTTCAGAGCAGTATCAGGAATTTTCCTCTGCCCTCGGTCAGGGCTCTGGCTCTCCTGCTTTCGGATGTAAAGCAGCCCAAATTTCTGTCCCAGTTCAGAACTGGAATGGATGAGAAATCCGTGTTTAACTAAAAGCAAAAGTAAAGAAAGGGTTAAGGGGGAGGGGGAATCAAACAAATCCCATTGGTGAGTCGTTAACAGAAAAAAACATTTTTTAAATGTTGACCTATGCTGATGGATCTGTGGATTTTAAAAACTATAATCAAACCAAAAGACGAGCTCAACTGTGGTCTCATTAAGCCTGAGCAGCAGATTCCAGCCCTCTGCTCGGTGATGAGTTGTTTTCATGAGTGTTTATGACGGGGTAGAGCCTTTCCCCAGGAATGCTGCATGTGCCCCAGCCGAAGCCTGGCTGCTGAGTCAGCACAGAAGGAGGTGGCCCCCTGCCAGCGCTCAGACACAGGACATTGTCTATTCGGTGGATGTTCCGCCCACAGTGGACGGTGGTCCTCATTAAGTCCGAGAACCACATAAGAACAAAATTCAGGCGGAAACAAGTAAAAGCAGGAGCCGGATGGAGGGGTGAAGAGGATGGGGGAGTTCCTGCTTCTCCATACTTTAAAAAAAATGCAAATTGAAAAAAATTGATAATTTAAACCCAAAGACAAAGTTAAAGATAAAGGGACCTTTTATGGTCATAAACCTGGTTTTCAGAGTTGCTAGACTCTTTGGAATGAATGGATGGTCTCTGTCTGAGTTGCCGAACTTTTACACGAAGGTCCCAAATGCCCAAAACAGGCAACAACAGACAAGATCTAATTCTCAGCGCACTGACCGTGCCGGGCCTGGGCTGTCCACTGCCCTGTGAGCTCTGCTCACGTGCCCCACCCCTTCACTGGGGACTCCTAAATTTAACCAAGTCCTGTGGAAAGAGATGCAGATTTGTTTACCCAGTGGAATCATTGTGTTTCAGAAGCCAGGCTTGGCTTGGTTTCCACACCCCGGCATCCTGGGGATGTTTTTAGGCAGCAGTTGGTGATACCTCTCCAATGTGAATTTGTTGTTCAGCAAATCCGTGTGGTTTTCAACCCAGATTTTTAACAGGATGGCTGGCTGGCTGTATTCACACTTTGCGCTTTGTAGTAATATGCAAATCCACTTGGCGCCCAGTCAATAGCCAAAAGAGTGGAAGGATTAAAGATATTTATAAGGGGGAAAATGCTCTGCTAACTGGGTCTTTCCATTTCACTTTGAGATCTAATTTACATGTCAGTATTATTTTAACATTTGCTACAGAATCCAGAGCTCTTAATGAGATCAGAATACAACTGATAGCTTCAGCTTCTTGATTCTGCAGAATGTGCTAATTTATGGATCGTCTCTTCTAAATTGAGAAAAAGGGATTTTCCCTCCTGATACTGAGAAGCTATAAATATTTTCATTTACCTCTACCCCCACCTTTTTAATTTTATAAAGAAAACAACCCCACGCTCCCCCTCTCACCCCTTTCCCGTGATTGCTCCCGGGTGAGAGAAAACTAGATTAGCCTAAACTTTCCTCCTGAATCAAGTCACTGCAGTGATGACCCAGTCTGAAAAGCTGAGAGCAGCGCTGGGGGCTTGGTGTCTGGCTGGGACTGTGTATTCCTAACTGCAGAGCTTTGTTGCGATGCAAATAACCTCCCCCCCACCCCACCCCACCCCAAAACCCTCCTAAGGAGTAGCAATTTTATATTTGATTTCCTTTTTTTTGTTTTGTTTTGTTTTGTTTTGTTTCCCCTCATAAACCCGAACAATGTAGGTGTCTAGTCATATACAGGTCTTAGCAAGAAAGAAAGTTCGAGAAATTCAAGCCGCCATTAAGGTACGTCTGGCTTGCCCAGTTGTAGGGGGCTTTTCATCTCCATGGTTACAGGCTTTTCCTTTGTTTTCCTCCCTTCCCCTACCCTGCAGGTGTCTAGTCACATTCAGGTTCTTGCCAGAAGGAAATCTCGTGATTTTCATTCCAAGCTAAAGGTATGCGCTTTCCTGCTTTTTGGCTTGTGGTTGCTACGCATCTCACTTCCTGTTTTCCATGGTGACTGGCGAATGCCTGGTGCTGGGATTCTCGTAACCTAGTTTCCTCGCATGTGAGAGCTGTTTACATTTCTTTGTGTCTAATCTCTCTGTTTCTGTACTAGCCTCACAGCGAGCCCAGTGTGTGTGCGCGTGTGTCCCTAATAACAATGCAAATGCAGCAGGGAGCTGGTCTTGATAACTTTTCAGCACAGAAACGTGATTTTTTTTTTTAACCATCAAATGTCCACCAAGCAGCCCTGGGCTAGGAGAGGGAAAAAAGAATCCAGAAACATAAAGTTGGTTTAGAAATTATAAACAAGAATCGTTTCCACAGCAGCCATCATGAAATTGCTTTTAATCAGATATCTAGAAATTAATTTGGGCTTTTGATGTATTTTCAAAAGTGCTCAGGAAAAACACACCCTATTCGTGTAATTTTTCTTGTGTCCTTCCAACACAGAATATTTTTCAGCCAGATTTCCTCCACGGTGCTTAACTTAATGTTGTTTTCTAAGTTGAAAAAGAAACTTGAGTTGAGGCCTTAAAAACAGAATCAAGATAGATTTTAAAAATGGAAAAGGCCCTGATCAAATCCATATTTGCAATTCCTTTTATAATTAAGTTTACTTTAAAATGTTTTTACACATGCCTCTTAAAATATATTTCATAGCAAAAAATGGAGGCAAGGACAGTATTTTCAGGGTCAAGTTCTACCTTCCAGGGTTAGCACACACGACTTCTTTTTCCCCATAGTAACCTGTTTTAGAAACACATAGATTATAGTTTAACATGAACAGGTTTTACTTTATGATAAAAATGAATTTGTAGCTCATATTTGTTGTTTTTCCCATATGTCATTTTTTTTTTCTGCTCTTTTTTCCCCATACATTAAGCAAATTTGTGTTTTCATTGTAAACCTAAAGAATAAGGCGCAATTTCACAGCACTGAGTGGTGAGCTCCGGGACCCTTCCCAAAGCCAACTTTTTTTATGCAAACAGGCCTGGCCGTGGAGTGGCAGGCAGTTACCGGGAAGAAGCGCTGGGTGTGCCCTCTGCAGTGGGCAGCATGCTGGCTCGCTGGCACGTGTGGCTGATGGTGGCTGGCTTTTAGCTGCACTGGCTGAGCAGTCAAAAAGGCTACGATAACCTCTTAGATCCTGCTTTTTAACCAAAGGTGCATTCCTCTCTATGTGGATGTAACTCCTGCAGTATTTGCTCAAATTCTGTTTCTAGTTTCTCTGAGCTAACGGATTAATGGTGTACACGAAGTTTACAGACATCAATTTTGTGTTTCCATCCGTGATGTTATAAATTGCTCTATTTCTACGCTGTCTGTGTGGTTCCTGTGGACTCTCCAGGGTGCGCGGCCTTGACCCAGAAACCTTCTCAGTGATGAGTGATCCTCTCCTCTTCAGAAGGGGTCCCCACAGGGTGTGCTCTTTGCCTCTCTCAGTGACTCTAAGAATCTTTCTCAATGGAAACAATGTTACCTTTACTTTATACATACCACACACACAAACACACAGTGGTACTTGCGTTTGTTCTTCAAAAATAAAAATAAATAAATAAAAGAACTCCCCACGCTGGGAAGCCTGGCCCGCTCTCCTTTGGGGCAGACTCAAGGAGGAGGCGTAAGCAGAGGCAGTGGGCTAGCAACTGGCTCAGCATTTTAGCTCCAAGAACCACCTCCATCTTCTTGTAGTTTCTTTCCTTCCTCCCGGCCACATTACTCTTGGAAGAATGGAGGCCTTTGTTCTTCCCATCAGCTAATACCAGTTGCGTGTTCCGGGCATGGTGCTCATCACGGTGGGCAGTTAACAGCCAACCCCTTATTCACAGAGCTGGCCATGCAAACGGGAATGTGAAATTAGGGCACTGTTGGGTAAGTGTCAGCGGACAGAGCCAGCGTGAAACGTGCAGGGAACCCCAGGGACAAGCTGCATGCGAACGTGCTGCTGTCGGGAACTGCACGGTGGCCGTCAGTGTGGTGCAGGACCTCTCACCTGTTCCCTTGTGTGCCCACGTGACAGAAAAAGTCTCATTGTTAAGGAATGGTATTTAGGAAACCAGGGTTCCAGCAGCTTAATCGACTTGCCAGAAGCTACCACTCCGAGTTAGTGTCAGAGTCAGAATTAGAACTTAGATCTTCCTGAATCCTAAAGCACTGCTCTTTCAGAAATAGTGTTATCCATTGCAGATGGGGGAATGTTCTCAAGGAGAAGGCTTCACGCCAGCGCACACTCTACATACCCTATCACCCTCATGCCCCTTAGAATGAGGCAGGCAGCCCTTGTCGCCAGCCTTTCCTCAGCACCCGCGTTTTAGAAGATGCATATTGAACTTTGAGCTCTTGCTGAAAACATGGACTTCATTTGAGATGGACACTGTGGTGATTGTCATAACTAGGGATGATGTGACCCTAGCTGCAGAACCGCTGTGTCACCACTCTGAGGGCATTAGGACAGTTGAGAATAAGGCTGCACTTGCCTGCAGAGATGTCACCGCCTTGACCTCCCGGGGGCATTTTGTGTTAGAGACGCCCTCATCAACCCTCCCAGCCGGCCATTGCCAGGAAATGGACTTGGGTCCATTGGCCTTACAGAGAGTAGATCTCACCGCTCCATCTGTACTCGCCTGTGTAGCTCCGGAGTCTAACGTGCGTCTGTGGGAGGCAGGGATGCACATCTTCGCTGAGATCATCCTGGGGTCAGCCTGATAGCCACGGCTTCTTGGCCTCCCGCACTAACTAATGCGATAAACTTGCTACAGAAAGTTGAAGTCATCCCAACCAGCTACCAGGGTAGCTTGCGGGCGGGCAGTGAAGGTGGCAGGAAGTACCCAGACTTACAAGAAACACTGTGCTTTGCCTGCAAAGATGGATCAAGGCTTCCCGGAGATAGTGGCTGGTGACTGACCATCTCAGGACCTATCCCGGCAGTTCCTGCCTCACTCAGCCTCCTCCCTATTTCTCCATTCTCTGGAGTCCCAGGACTTCTGTTCTCTGGGCTGGACAAAGGCCTGTAGCCCTCCCGTGAAGACTGAAGCCAGACTCCATGTCCCTGTCCTCCCTTGGGGTTTGAACGAATGGTTTGCTCACACCCGGGGCCCCTGCCCGGTGTGGCTTCCACGGGAGCCCTCTTGCCTATAAGCCTCTCTTCATTTCCCAGGGAAGGGTGTGGTAGAATTTTTTTTTCAGTCTGGTAATTTTCCAGACTTTTTTAAGCAGCAAAACTCACATTTCAGATTGAAATCTTACTTGAAGCCTTCAACATACAAAAGAATAAAGGCTGTTTTAATGGAAGCTCACGCTCTTTCATCCTTAGCAATGGCCTCTTTGGCTGCTCTGGTGAATAAGGTATGAAAAACCACGCTGCTTTAGGCAGAAAGAAAAGGAGGCGGCTGCCTCTCAGCCCACCCTCCCACACTTTACAGGAGAGTTCCCGTGCCCCATCTAAAGCCCAGATTGTCTAGGCTTTGTCACCTGTTCTGCCACACTCCTCTGCAGAAACAGACTCTGGACGAGAGTAGTCGCTCTCATGCCACAGTTGTGGGTGCATCACCCTGACTGCAGAAGTCTGTTAGCCTGGGTTCAAAGGTCAGCCTCGCGTGTCTGCTCGCTGCGGGGCTGTCACAGTGCTCCTTTGTGAGCCACGGCACTCCCCTTTTCGTGCAGACTTTAACTTCATTTTCATTTTCATAACAAAACTTGTTACGGTGAACATTTAAGATTCCATGTGAGGTAGATTTGAACCCTGAGAGCACAGAAGCGATGACCTCATTCAGTCCAGTGAACTTTTCATTGAGAATCCACTGTGTTCTGGGCTCCTCAGTAGATGTCAGAGAGTCATAAGCAGGACCTCTGTTCTTGAGGAACACGCAGCTTCTCTGTTATCTTTGGCTAGGTTTGGGGCGTACAGAAGATTTCCAGTAGATTATCCTCAGCGGGGGGCTGGTGGGGCCCTGCGGGAGAAATCGAGCAGAGCGGTGCGAAGACTGCGTAGGGCCAGGGTGATGAATTCAGAGGGCGGGGGAGTTAAAGGAAGCCTTGTGCAGAGCAGCCTTCAGAACTGAGTGAGGAGGGAGGCAGAGTGTCCACTGAGCAGCAGGGGTGTCTGGGGAACATTGAAGAACACCCCTTAGCTGGAGGCGGGAAATGCCACTGGGCGAGTCCCACGGGAAGGTCCGGGACCATCCCACGGAAGGGTGAGGTTCACCTGTGGGCCATGGGGAGCCGCAGGGAGTCCTTGATACTTACTGATTTAGGGAGCTCCGTGAAGTCCAAGTGAGAGGTGGGAGGACCAGGGCGCCCACACGCCCTGGGGCCCAGCCTGGGGCCTTCACTCGTCCTTCTCGCCCTTCTGGTCTGGCTCCCCTTTCCAGTCCACTCTGAGTGCACTTTCTTCCTCGTTGTTTTTAAAGACTAAATTATGCTTAAAAATTCTATCCTTATTAAGTCTGAAAGTGTGCACTGAAACTTTGCAGTAGCACCATTTAAAACATAGGTTATCTAAGGTCGGGTTCTCTTAAAGTAATGGCAGTTCACTGAGGGTGTGCATCAAGATTAACCATAAAGATTTATTGTTTCTTAGTTTAAAATGCAACAAAGTTAAAAAATGCAGAGCAGGCCATATTAAACATCCATGCTTCTATTACCTAGAAATGATCATTTTCATTTTGACATGTTCTTAAAAGCCTTTTTTAAGTGAAAGAAATCAAGTGGCTAAAATTATTCTTATGTTTTCTAATTCCTTCGACCCACCCTCACTCACCAGCCGATCTGTCTCCCCCACCCATTCCTCCACCAGCAGTGTCTTCCTTGCCATTTATTTCCCTGAGAAAAATCAAATCCAATAAAGTCTGTTCTCTTTTGCCTTGTCATAAAACTAATCTAGATTGTTGCCCACTGTCTACCATGAATTTGTGCTGAAGCCTCTGGCCCAAACATGATGAGACTTTTT